CATCAGGTATTTGATGCTAAATAATAAAGATGAAAATTGGAAACCGTAATGATATAATGCTATATAATCTATATTCCATTAGAAATAATACTCTCTATAGGGAGCCATAATGGGGCTGCTTTGGACTTTTCTGGAGACGGTTCATACCAAATTGACTTTTTTTTTCTTTTTTTTTACATGCTAAGCACCAGTAATGTTTTCTACAGCACATCAGATGTTCCTGCCAACGCGTACGGTCTCTGCCGAAGGACGCGGTGAGGACGCGCGGTGCCGGCTTTCCCAGTTCTTCTTTCAAGCAGCAAATGGGTTTTGACTCTAGAGATCGCTTGACGTTGAGCTAAGTTTCCTAGCTGAAAATTTAAACTATGGGAGGTTTTGTATAATTTCGAGGAAGAAAACCATTTGAAAACCCTAAAAGGAAAACGGGAAAGCTTTTTTTTTTTTGGTTTTGTTTTTGTTTCCTCTCCTTCCCTGTCTTTCCTGCCCCCCCCCGGCACATCCTCCCCACTTTTCTTCCTCCCCTGCCCCGGCAGAGACCTCTAGAAAATGCCAAACTATGGAATTTGCCGCATCAAGTTTGGAGCATGTAACAAACATTCGAAACGCGTGTGGGGCAAGTGCAGCCGCCATTGGCAGTTTATTTTATTTCAATTTTTTTTTTTTCCACCCCCCCCCAAAAAAAAAAAAAACCCACCCCGTGGCTCCCTCTCCGGCTGCGCGGGAGATAACAATGGGGCGCTTTGTGCCGCTCTGCAGCTGCTGAAATTTGACTAGATCCAACTGAAGAAAACAGGAGCAGGTGGGTCAACAACGTGACCCTTTCGTTCCCAGCAGTATCAGTGTGCGCCGGGGCCGGGGGGACCGGGGTGGAGGTGAGCCCCAAGATTTAGCACAGGCAATGAGGGTGTGTTGGTTGGCGCTTTGAGGATGGGAGCTGCCTTTGGGAGGAAGCCCTGATGCCTCTAAGTATCATGCTGCCTTTTGTAAAATGGGTTTCACTCCAGAAATGCTAGGATTGGGAAATGTCACTGTACGTGATGAACTGGTGGTGTTACAGACCAGAGATCTTTGCTCCATTACTAGTGCTTTGATTCCCATACTACTTTCTTGGTTTGTGTCATACTCCATGGTGGCCACATGGATGCTCCCAAAGCTCCCAATGCCCAGCCCGTGCCCTCCCCTTCCACAGCCCCAAAATGGGGAATCATTTGGTTCCCCCTCTATATCCCCCCAGGTCATGGAGATGACTCCCTGCATGTCCATGTTTTTGTGGTGCTAGAACTGTCCTAGAAACATGTCGAGGGTGGGAAGTCTGCAGCTTGGAGGAGGGTTAGGTACATGGTTCCATGGTTCCCAGTATGTTTGGTGGAAATGGGAGATGCTCCTTTGCCTGGCACTGCTGCATCAGCAAATGCATCTCATCAGCACTGCCCACTCGATAGCAAGAGGAAGACAATAAGGATACAGAGAAAAACACCATTATTACTTAACGGATGGATCAACAAAGTACCAGTGGTTTCTGAGGGGTTCCCTGTCAAGGTGTGATGAGTTGATTGATTCCTTGAAGCTGTCACAGTGTGTTTGGGCTTTGTGAGCCTCAGAAGTGATGTTAAAAGGTGGCAGTGCTCAGTTCAGCAGACATATGGTTACGGCCTCAAACCTTTCTAAGATTGCAAGGGATTTTGAGTCTGAGGCTTTTAAGGGGTGGACGTGAACAACTGTTTGTAAGTCAGCAGTTAGAAACGCAAGGTTTCTGTTGATGGATCTTGTAATCTTGCTTTCCAATATCAACTTACAATAAAACGAATGTGAGATGGAGCAGAGCTCCCCCCTTTTACGCCGTACTGTGGATACAGTTGTGGTGTTAAACAACATGTTCATGTCCTTGAAAGTCTTTGTGATTTTGCTATAAATTTTAGTAAAAAATATGACCCACGTAAGCATCTTGGATGATCCCACCATCACGAGTGCTTGCACTGCTTATGGAGTAGCATCAAGCAGTTCTTTATTTGCACAAGATGAAGCCTGTAAGAGGAATAACCAGTTACAGTCAGGATGAGATCCATGCCAAATGGGGAAGGGGAGAGCAGTGATGACTTTGGCAGTGGGTCGGGAGGGCTGCTGCAGGGAAGGGTCCAGTGCGAGGAACTGCTTGGGGTGGAAGGAAGATGGATGGAGGCTGGAGAGGAGCTTCCACTGCTGAGGGCAGGGTATGTGACTGTTTGGGTGATGTCTGCTGGTATAGAAAATTGATCTGCATGACCACATTACCAGCTGTGGAGACTCAGTCCACCAGGAAGAGGGTCGTTAATAAATCAGAGGCTCTCTGCGCATACCTGCATCTTAAACTTGGGTTTTTAGCAGGAGCTTGCTGTGATTTGATGTGAAGGTCAGTAGCAGGACAAAGTACAGCACAGCACCTCGGCAGCGCTAGCAAATCTGCCCGTTGCATCCACGGGTGCTAGTTGGACAGGATTTAGCCCCAAGCCGAGGAGGTTTGGAGGGAGACCTCTGAAATGGTGTTGTGACCATAGTTTGTCCTTGGCTGCACTTGCAGTTAAACCCCGTTTGGTGCCGGCGGAGCTGCCAGCCCCCCCTTGTCAGCAGTGGGTAATTTAAGAGGTTTCTCCCAACAGCTGGCAGGGGGGTTTGCTCCCGTCCTCCCCTCCCGCCGCCGCGCTGGGCTCTCCCCCTCCCTGGCACCGACCGCCTCGCATTAATGCTGTTGGACTCGGAGCCGGGTGGTGGCGGTGCCAGGATTCAAACCCATGGCTTTGGAAGAAGAAGCACAGGTGCAGGCTGAACTCCTGATCCTTGGAGGCCAGCAGATAGCGGGAAGGCTCCAGCTCCACTCCGGAGTGCCGGCCACACACCCTTGTGAACGCACGAGGAGTGTGTCACGAGGGATCGTATGGTCCTTCGGTGCCCCTTCCCTCCGCGCAGGCGTACACCTCCGGAGGAGTTCTGCTTAAAAATAAAATTAAAATAATAAAAAAATGGCACTGTGTCCTTGGTGAGAGGCGATGAGGGATGTAAAGGCTGTTTGGGGATGTAGGGGCACCCGCCTTCCTGCTCAGCCATCCAGCCGCATCCTATAGGGCTGCAGGGGAACACAGCGATTAACATATGAAAACGCTGATAACAGTGGGATTCTTGTGCGGGCAGAAACGAAGGAGATATACTACCATTTTGGTGCCAGTTAGACCCATAACTGCTATTTGTGGCTGGGTTTAGTAACAATTAACCTTTCACATTTTGTATCGGCCATTGCTTTCCTGGTGCAGCTGCTTTTATAACAATATACTTTGCTTCTCCTCTCAGAAGCGCCAGATTTGGCAGTCGGGGTATCTGTTTTAGAAACCACAGGATGTATGGAGGGAGAAATGAGGATTTTTTTAAATAGCTATTTGACGTATAAGAATCTTCTTGAGGGGATAAAAAAAATGTATTTCGATTTAAGGGACCTTGTGCATATTAAGATAAAAAAAGGAGATTGCGTGACTGCTACTTAAAGTATTTTAAGGCAAATTCAACGTAGCTTTGCTTGTGTGACAGCATCAAGTCATGGCTTTGAAAAAATCTTGACCTGGTGTGCAATCAGATGTCTCAGACTGGAGCTGGAAGGAATTAATCCCTTTGGTAGGGGTTTCCCTGCCTGTTTGGGCTGGCTGAAGGGAGGTGTTATGGACCCTAACCTTTGTTGCTGCCATTTGAAAACCAGTAAAATGCCTTTCTCTTGAGAAGGAACATGGCTACAAGTGACCTGTGGGCACTATCTGGTTTAATTTACCTAGGCAAGTAGATGGGAATATCAGCATCTTAAATGGCTCCAATGCATCTCAGAAATATTTGAAAATAAGAGTGTGTAATAGGAGGTAGGACAAAGTTGGAGAAATTTGGTTTTGGCATTAGTATATTGTTACTTGAAAATGTAGTGGAGGTTGGTCTTCACCTGTCAAAACAGAACTGCTGTGTTCTGGCTCTTCCAGAATAATCATTTCAATATTTATACTTTACGCTGTGCTGGAAAAAGAAAATGCAAAATGCAGATTTGCATGAAGCGGGTTATAGTCTGACTTCTCCAAAGCATCTGGTATTGCAGGTAACAGGTTCACTGGGTGGTTACAGGTTGTGCTTTGATCTCAGCTCTGCTGGTATTTAATCTAAAGTAATTTTGTTAACTCTGGCAATGTGTAAAACTGGCTTGATGGACGACTTGGACTTCTTTAATTATGATTTTTCTTTGCAATTAAAAAAAATACAAAGCTTCTGGTTGCGCGTTAACGTTGATGATGAATGAGACTTAATGTGATTTCAATCATTGTCTTTTGAAGATAAAAACTGCCCCATTTTGGCACAAATCCAGTAAAGTCAGTTGGACTCTGCAATTGCTTGTTCCATCCATGATCTGCAGGAATCAGTTGTGTGCCTGGGTCACCTTGCTACTTCCCAAGGTGCTTAAATCACATTTTCCTTTGCGTTATAGAAATTTGTTGGGTTTTTTCTTTTCATGCTGGATAAGATAACTATGTAAGTAACAAAAGTGTCAGTGTGCAGGCTTAGAGAAGAACAGCACACTCTGATGCACCAAAGTGTCCCCTTCTTTGAAGTCCCCTTTTTTGGAGATTTTCAAGCCCCGCCTGGATGCAGTCCTGAGTGGCATGATCTGACATGCTCTGGGTGGTCCTGCTTTAGCAGGGGAGTTGGACTAGATGATCTCTGTGGTCCCTTCCAACTCTAAAAATTCAGAGAAATTCAGTGAAATTCAGTGAAACATAGATGCCCATCATTCACCCTGTAGCATCTGAATTCGCGTTGTGTGTGAAGTGTGTGTTAGAACAGAGTTAGGTACCTAAATTCTAAGTTCCCCTGGATTAAACTTAAAAAGCATTACAGGGTTTTTTCTCTTCTTGGGCATTAAAAATTTGTGAGAAGATAACTTACAGGACTTGTCCAATAACTATTTTCTTTTTTCTTTTTCTCACATGTTGGCACTCCAGGATGGGAATCGCAGCTCCTGGAAACAGGGTTCCTGGGGATATTCCTCTGCCCTCTCTGGACCCTGTCCCGCCTGCCCCAGCACACTCCTCCTTCCAGCATCGTCATCTGGGGCTTTCGGTGGCTGATTTTCAGGATCATGCTTGGAGCGGTAAGTGGGACTTCAAATTTTTGCTTTTTTGAGGTGACAGCAAAAGGAGTGTCTCATCCTGGTGGAAAACCTGCCCCTGGTCCAACACGTGGGAGTCCTCTGGTTTAGGATTTTTTCTGGTTATATGGAAGGAGTGTGCAGCAGGAAATGCTTCATGCTCTGGTTCACAAAAATCTTTCAACTTACTATTAGGGTTTATTTTAAGGAGGACAAACACAGGAGTAAGAAGATCTGTGTTGATATGTTGGTGCTGCTCTTGTGATTGGTTGTTGAAAAGGAATGAAAGTGAAGGTTGAGACTTGAGCATTGTGGCTTTTTGATAAAATGGTTGGGAGTCCAGTGGGTAATTCCCAGCAGCCAGGAGCTTTACCCTGAGTTATTATTTCTTTGTGTGTTTTTTAGTGAAATGTCATTCTCTGCTCTGTGTTTTCTAAGAGAACAATTGCTGCATTACTGTCCCTGCGCCAGTGGAAATTCCCAGGTAGCTTGTAAAATAATCCATCAGGAACTGACACATCTTTGTTAAAATAAAGGTGTGTCAGGGGCGTTATCCTGTCATCTCGATATGCATTTTGGACATTTCAAAATATGCCAAAACTAAGCCAAGGATCATTGCTGTAGAAGGTGATTGCAGGCAGGTGGGACATTCCTGTGTCCATTTGCTCCAAAACTCTTCTCTTGCCCCAACTCTTAAAGTGCTTGAATCTGTAGTCGATCTCAATAAGCTCTTAATTATCCTCCTGCTCTTAAAAAAAATAAAGACAAACTTTTTTTTTGTGTTAACCTGTTTTCAAGACGGCTTTCTTAGTGGAAAACGTTATTGCAGTAGATATTCTTGGAAAATGTGTGCTGTAGGCGTGTTGCATCAAAGGGCAGCTTCCCAGCCCATGGCAGTTCAGCAAATTGAGCTTAAAAGACCAGAAAATGTTGCTTTTTCATATGTGTCATGCAAGTGGTATTTCAAAACTCACTCTTTGATGTTGCATTCATTTCTTTGCCATAGCTATTGTGTAGCATTGCTAAATTTTGCTCAGCTTCCTAAAGCTACAATTCTTGCTCGTTATTAATTCCTGCAATTCTTGTTCATTATTAATTAACTAGGTGTGGTCCTGCTGTGGGGCACTACAGATGGACAAAATGACTCCAGAAGGTCCACTCCAGCACAGCTTTCTATGATGCTACACAATATCTGCATATATAGATAATCCCATAGATTTTAATGCAACTGCTCATTGAAAATATTCAGTACATGTTTATGGGACAAAGTCACCTTTGTAACGCCCTTGAAATGCCATAAAGCTTTTGGTTGGAGATCAGGTAAATGATGCTGTTCTGGCATCCTACCATACTGCTCCCGTGCTATACCCTGGGATGGAGGCTACTGGGTGCATCTGTGATTGCAACGTTACTTTATGTGATAGAAATTCCATCTTTTAGGAAGCTCTTGTAGAGAGAGGATCTTGTCTGACACTCCCCAGGATGGGAGTGGGAGATGGAGCTAATGGGAAGATCTCTATGCTGGGCTGAATGCACAGTGTCGGGAAACTCATGGCAAATAAGCTGTTGCAATTAAGTTGGTGAGTGCAAAATTATTTAGGCTCTTGTGATCTGTTTCATGGAGTGTTGTGATAGAAATTCCATCTTTTAGGAAGCTCTTGTAGAGAGAGGATCTTGTCTGACACTCCCCAGGATGGGAGTGGGAGATGGAGCTAATGGGAAGATCTCTATGCTGGGCTGAATGCACAGTGTCGGGAAACTCATGGCAAATAAGCTGTTGCAATTAAGTTGGTGAGTGCAAAATTATTTAGGCTCTTGTGATCTGTTTCATGGAGTATTTTCCTGGGACAGCTGAAAAATTGCTAAGAGAAAAAATGCTGGAATGGTTCTTGGCAAAACTGCTGATAGGAAAGGAATTGAAATGGGAGTCTTTGTGGAGCTTGGTGCTGTTTATGGGAAGATGATGTTGAAGGGAAGTGTGATAGTCAAGTGCAGTGAATGGCTTTGGAGAGAATAATGGAATATGACTCTTAAAAACAGCCTGCCTTAAACCAACAGTTTGTAAATCTGTGTGTGGGGTCTGCTGCGGTGTCAGAGCCTACAGCCTGGAGGAGCCATCAGGGAGCTTCAGGGCTGGCACCACAGCAGGTTCTTACTGCGTTGAGTCACTGTCCTCATGGCACCAGGGCTTGGTCTGTGACGGTCCTTATTGCTCAGTGTCACTTCTGCACGAGATGGCCCCTTGACTTGCTGCTGGCTCTGTGCAGAACACCTTGGGGACAATAATTGGCAGTCCATGTGAACATCACAGATGATTAACTTGGTCCAGTGGAAGGCGTCCCTGCTCATGGAAAGGGCTTTGGAACAAGATGATCTTTAAGATCCCTTCCTCCTTGGGGACAATAATTGGCAGTCCACGTGAACATCACAGATGATGAGCTTGGGCTAGTGGAAGGCGTCCCTGCTCATGGCAGGGGGGTTGGAACAAGATGATCTTTAAGGTCCCTTCCAACTCAAACCATTCTATGATGAGATGCGAATCTCCATGCAGTTGATCCAACAGCTATGAAGGGTATGTTGTTGGTCTAGTGAGAATGATTCTGATGAAACTTTCCTGGATGAGAAATTGAGGGTGATTTTGGTATTAACTTTGTCTGTTTTTCTTGGTGCTTTCCTATTTCTCACATCAACTTGGTTAAAATGAAGAGTTCTGCTGAAACTTTCTTGGATGAGAAATTAAGGGTGATTTTGATATTAAGTTTGTCTGTTTTTCCTTGGTGCTTTCCAATTTCTCACATCAACTTGGTTAAAATGAAGAGCAGTTGATCCAACAGCTATGAAGGGTATGTTGTTGGTCTAGTGAGAATGGTTCTGCTGAAACTTTCTTGGATGAGAAATTAAGGGTGATTTTGATATTAAGTTTGTCTGTTTTTCCTTGGTGCTTTCCAATTTCTCACATCAACTTGGTTAAAATGAAGATCTTTCAAAGTTGGCTGAAGACATCTACCCTCGAACTGGCTGTAGCCATGTGTCTCCAAGCCATGGGATAGGTTGGGGAGGTCCCAGTCCCAAGGGAGGGCAGCTGCTCTTTGCCTGACAAAGGAGATATCTGTAAGCTTAAAGCAGCACATAAAACTTCACGCACCATCCACTACTGCTGCGTGGTTTTTACAGTAGTTTTGAAGTATTTTAAGCAACTGTTCAGGGAACACAGTTGAAGGCTGCTAACCTGCCAGAAATATCCATCCATGTTTTATAACAAATTAAATTTCCTGTCCGCTCCTGTAAGCACAGAATGATAAGGACTTTAGTAGCTGGCCTGCATGGTTTCTTCATTATATTTTTGAGGGCAGTAGAGGTCTAAGTTGTGAAAGATTTGTGAGTGTGGTAACAGTGCTGGCTGGCCTTTAATGACAGTCATGGGTGTGGGTCATCTTGGGGGTCCCAGTCTCTGCAGGACCCCTGTGCAAGGATTCGAGAGGAGCTGAGGATGTTCACTGTCTGGTGGGATTAGATCCCACGATGTCACCAGTCAGTCCTGACTTGAAGTCCAAGAGGCAAGTTACCTTAAATGCAAGACTTCGCTTTGACTGCAAAGCTTGAGGAAGCATGGTTGTAGGGTTTGGGGTTTTTTTGGGGGGGGTGGGTTTGATTATTTTTGGGCCATTTATCACCAACGATGTTTTCACCAAACGTCACCTTTGTCCCTGGTGGATGGAGACTGACTCCTGTGGTCTTGATGCTTCTCAGCTTCTATAATGCTTCTTCTCGGTTGTGATGCTGATTATAGAAAGAATCAACAGTCTTTGACACCAAATGTAGGGAAACAGCTAATTTTCTTAACAAGTTACATGATCCCCAAGTTTGCATCCTGCTTTCCTTTTAAAATGGGAGTCTGACTGAGCTTTGCTCTGTTCCTGCTAATTTGTAATATATATTCTGAATTATGGGACAGGTTGGATACAAAGGAAAACCATGCTCGCCAGACATCTTTGTTACTGTTATCTCTGTGCTGCTTGTTGATTTTTGTCTGGAGAGTAATAACTCTCCTGTTATTTTAGGGAGAGCCCTCTGCAGAAGAGATGCCGCCCCACGAGCCCCTTGTCTGTCTGGGTTACTGATATATAAGTAACAGGCATGGGAGAGGAAAACATGGAAAGGTCATTAAATGGGGATCTATACAAGCAAGTGGAAATCAGTGATTGATGGTATCTTTAATGTTTTGGGGCCCAAACACATGTACGTTTCCTTCTCAGCCGGGGTAATGACGCTTGCAGGCACCGGGAAGCTGGTTTAATGCGTGAAACCGAAGTATCCTCCTGGAGCCCAGGTGCACCTGCTCCCAGGCCATCTTTGATTTCTCCCCTAATCTGGGCAGGAGCTGAAGCATCTGCACAAATGTGGGCTGAAGGAAGTTTTTCCCAGGGGTGGGATCAGCAATGGTTACATCTTACGCAGAAAGTAAGTTTGACTTCCCCGCGTGGTTCTCCAGGGACTCTTCTATCTGGTTGGGGTAAGGCTTTCCTTGTAAAATGCCATCCTCAAAGCAGTGTTTCCTTGGGCCAGCTTGGATTTTCTCACCTTGTCATCCTCAAAGCCAACAGTGTTCCCTTGGGCCAGCTTGGATTTTCTCACCTTGTGCTGGATGTTAGGTGAGCAATGCCATCTGTGGGTTTGAGACGCACCTTAGATGGGCAGGCTCGTCTCTCTTCTGCAACTTGGTGGCTCCCAGTGAAGACTTCAGGTTCTTGTCCCATAGCTCTCCTGTTTTCTGCAGTCGGTTCCTGGATCATGAGCATTACATGGGGGTGGACTTCACTTGTCTGCCCCCTTTTTTTCCTATTCAGCTTATTGTATTTGGGAACTTTTTCTATGCAGAGCTCTAGCAACCAGAGATTTGCATTGAAGCACTAGGAAGTCCAACAAATTGAATGCTGATGCTCATTGCAGCCCCTCTTGTATCAGCCTGTGAAGGTGCAGAAGATCAAGCCCAGTAAGCTGCT